GCACTCTGATAAAGAAATTTGCGGACATATGTTTGACAATGGGCATTAAACCATCATGCTCTCAATTCCGACGGTTTATTCAAACCACCGCTACTGTGCATTATGTGTTCTTGCAAGTCCCAAACAATGTAAAAATAAAAGGACTTAAACCAGGAAACTCATTGTGTCATTAGTCACCTCGATAAGCAGGTATGTGAAAGAGTGATTACGAATTTCAGAATTTAATCGACAAAGAACGAGTTGTAGAGTTTACGTTTCTAACAGTTATTTTAATTTTTAACCATGCTTTACTGTCTATTCTTGTTCCGCACCTACTATTCCCTACTAGAATAAGTTTCTAGTATCGCGTTGCATGTAAATGAGGTAAAAAGAGTATTTAAAGGAAGGTTTCGCTTACTTTAGCAGAACAGCTTAGAGTCCTTAGTGGCGTGTGTTTGTCGTCAGGCTACTTCGTTGTTTCAAGCTAACTACGCTCAGCCGTATTGTAAGTGCCGGTTAATTTATAAAGCCCAGGTGGAGGCTTTTCTGTAACCCCTAGAAAGGGGCCATCCGTGGTCTTAGTTTGAGATAATAATGGGTGAGTTTAACCCTTCTCTGGACTTCGTCATTTACACACTTGGACTCAGCTATATGTCGCTAAATAGTTCAACAAGGTTTCTACGAAGTTCAACGTAGACAAAGTAGTTAAAAACATTACAAAGTCATGGAAGACATATCCCAAACATTATTTTCCGATTAATCGGATCTCGTTTAAATATGCAAAAATATTTTCCACTTTCTAAAAATAAAGTATTTTATTGGGCATACTGAATCCGGCTCATTTTTGGGACACCCTTTATATGGTATATCCATTGATAACTAGGTACACATTCAATAATTAGGCATAAGTTAAATAATAGGTTTGCCTTCAATTGTCTAATAATTATACTTTATACCTAAGCTTTGGTAGATATGTTATTAAGAATCAATTTATAATTATTCGTTCATCAAAATGTTCAACAAAAATTTAAATAATTAAATCGAGCTAGATTTGATATGACAGTCTTTCAGTCACCATTATTATAGATTTACAGTCAGTTATTTACCATTACCATCACTGAATGTACATGTTACGGTGCTGGAGAATGTCGACTTTCACCGGTGAATGTCAACATTCACATAGTCTCTTGGTGTATGTCCGAAATATTTTCCAAATACTCTTATTTCTGACTTACACCGGTCAATGTCCACATTCACCATGTACTAATGGTGAATGTTGAACATATAACAATATTATATTTTCTTCTCCGTAATTCAGTCGCGAATAAACGCACTTGAGACTTGAAATAAGAACTTAACAACATGAGAACCTAAAACACACAATACATTCAAAATGAGAAAGGAAAATAATAGAAGTTAAAAACTTACTTAATTATACAGTACGTTCTAAATGAGAAAATAAAATAACAGTAATAAAAAACTTACTAAATTATGTGATGCAAATCTTATTTATTGCAACAACTTACACTATTATGGCACTTTATGACCTCTCTTTTCGACTTTCACCAGAGCATATAATTGTCGACATACACCGGTGAGGGTCCGAATATACAAGAATGTAGTGAAATATTCGATCTTTCACCGACGTATTTGGTGAATGTTGATATTCTCCGGTGAAAGTCGACATTCTCCAATTTCGATCTTTCACGGTAACCTACACATAATACCACAACTAAATTACTTTATTTCTACCGTTTGATTCTTCTGTTGCTAATCAAAATTACAAATTTTCAGTAATACCAAACTTTCGAAAGAATATTGGAAGTTCTTTTAAAGAAATTAAAAATAAAAACTATATCACGAATTCGAGAAATTGCAATTTTAATCTCGACGTTCTATAAGCAACCAAATCACTAACCATCAAGCTGTTATTCATCACCACCAGAAAGTGAAACAAACTTATGAAAAGATTGGAAATGGAACGTCAGCTCTATTCATATGCGCGACAAAATTTAGTACAAGACAGTCCAGATACATGTTTGCAAACATATTTGATATTTTTATAATTTCTTAGAACCCTTTTGGATTTCTGACGCAACTTCTCATACAGCTAACGTCAATTCCCGCAATGAATGCGTCACTGATTTCTTGCTGTTCACTACCTGCATGGACGATATTGCAATGTAGCCATGACAACCAAATATCGCGCGGATGAAATATCCACATAATACGAAAAAATGCTCCGTCTGTGACTCAGATTGAGAATTGATTTCCATATATTGTTCATGAAAGACAGCGAATGATTTTTTACACTTGCTTCTACACGCGGAATATATTTTAAACCTCGGATTGGAAAAAAAGAATGAATAAATTTTAATCCATTTGCAAAAACAAATTTCAAGAACAAGAAAAATTTTAACGTAAAAAAGCAAAGCAGAGAACAGAAAACACTTCCATGTATTTTGGAACCTTGAATCTGAGTCTCAGTCACAGACTGAACCAATTTGTATTTTTAAATATCATACACGAAGACATGAATAAGAAATTTACTACATCACCACCAGTTTTTGTTTTAGATAATTAATTACATGTGAAATTTTTACCATATCAGTTTACAGAAAGCTCATGCAGATTTTATAAATCTTTAAAGTAGCCAGAATTGCCCCTAAATTGTAGAGTTATTATAAACCCACCACACCGGGACTACAGAGCTCTTATCCAATCCAAAATGAATTCTGTGTCCGACTTGTTTCGCACTTCTTCCTATTTATATCGTCTCCATTTCCTGTTCTACACTTCCGGCAAAGTGCATCTGAAAGACTGGCTCATATTTTTAAATACGACATAAACCACGTATTAAGGTCTAAGTGAAAAAAAAATATGTCAATATAAAATTTTAAATTAGGCTAAAACCTACATAGAATGACTTAAATTTTGAATACTCTGTCGATTTCAATAGCGAATGGCATTTACTCCTGATGAATTTTTCTTTCCTCCCTGATGAAGAGGCACCTATGTCTTGTCATCCTTGAAGTCGATAGAGTTTTATTCAAAATTTACGCCAATCTAAGTTTGCTTTTTTAGCCTAATTTTAAACCTTGGATTGAGATATTTAAAGCAGGATTTCTCTTTTACAAAAATAATACGAACACAGCAACATTATTTAACGCTTTTAAGATTGAGCTGAAATGCACATTTTAAAGATTTATATGCTTTGAAAAGTAAATGAATTATTTGCCTTTCGAAAGAATACACGATTGTATTTATGTTATATGCATGAGTAAGAATCATAAAAACACAAAACACGTTACATAAACGCCGAACAAAAAATCTGCCTCCTCCCCCACCCCCCGGAAACAAAAACTGCCAGTACTTCGTTGTTGTATCCATTTACCTCTCGGAAATTTTTTAGTTCATTACGATGCCTAGACTTCTTTCCAATTACAATCCCTTAATTTTAAAAGTAAACATAATATAAACACATCAAACAAACTCGAATTATAACATTCGCTGACAATCACTTAGGTCTACCTTAATTTTAATGCTAAGAGGGAATAACCCAGCTATGTTATAATGGTTATTACTTTCTCTGAATCTTTCGCGAATTCTCCCACCAATTTTTATATGTAAGTATGATCTCTGTTGAAAGACTCTGGCTCACAAGTTCAGATGTTAACGTATACTGAATCATATCGGAAGGCCTATTCTATACAGCTTTAGAGCGTAAAATATATTTTTAATAGCAAATGCAAAATAGTCTGAAAAAAGGTGAATTCAGAATGGTAAATTTTTAAATGTAAGTTCCATGTCTTTTTTTCTTTTTTAATCTACGTTAAATGTCTGCAGAAGGAGGAGAAGAATTTTTCCTCCCTGTTTCTTCCATCTTCACTTAAACAATTTAAAAAATATAAAGAGATCACAACTTAAATCCCACGTCTACATATAAATTTAACAGTATAAATGAAGATGTTTCCTTCAGTGGTACTTCGCAGGAACTTTCCAATCACATGTTCGACGACTTTTCTCTAGGATAAACAATATTTTTAATAGTTTATTTGAAGCAAAATTTTAAAAATCTGATTTCTGATTACGTTTGAATTTTTTATTCTGATATTTATTAGAATAATACAAGCAGGCAAGGAATGATGTGCCCCAGTGTTAAACACAGCTTACTGTTGGTTTACTCTGCCGTTTAATAAGAATAATATCATAAATTGTAATTTTTAAGCTAAGGAACGGGTGCTTAAACATTAAATAGGACTAACAGTTCATTCAACGCGCCATTTATTAGAATAATATCAATGTTTGATATAATTCTAATAAATAGCAGAATAGAAACGGAATACTCAAAATATATATTTACTAGGATCGGTGTTTTAACTTGATAAATTAAATTGCTTTAGATATAAAGTAAACATTTTTTTAAAAAAAAATTAAAGCTAAAATACTTAGCTTTTGTATTTCACAAAATATTGAACTATTCTCTTTTCCTGTTCAGATATATTTAAATTTTAGCGCACTTTAAGCTGATATTTTATATTTTACTAACCCGTCGAAATACATTTCGCAAGTTATGCGACACTCTTTGAGAATAATGCTATATACTGATAACAGTAATTCTCTCAAAATGCTTCATTTACATCTTTATAAATTTAATCGTTGTTTTTACCTTTATTTAATACGAATTATTATTACAAGATGAATGATGAGTAATGACGAAAGTTCACAATATATGAATATTTTATTATTTTAAACAATTAAACCTTTAACCATCACAACCTTTAAATTCTAACTAAGGAAAGAGCACTCACCCCGCACCGTAATCGTTTACATTTTAACCTTTTAATATTACTTCAAACAGAAACTAAAACTATCATAGTAACTAAATTCATTTTGAAATATCAAAGCTCTATATTAAATCAATTTCAAATAAAACTGATTTTTAATAAGCAGAGATTCTTATTGAAAAAGAATGAAATAATAAAAATTCTATTGCAATGGATTAAATAAATGTTACTTACAAATGCAGAGGACTGCTAGGAAACGGACAGATGCATCAGGTGGCTCACAATCAGGAAAAATAGGTCTTAAGACGTAAAAAGAGAAAGTGAGGGCCACTACTGCTTGCGAACAAGGCCTGACGATCATGCACTCTACCCAGAGCCTCAGGAAAGCGACGAAGGGACCAAATGATTCCATTATATAGGCATAATCCGCACCACTCTTCGTAATCATGCAGCCCAGCTCAGCATAGCAGAAAGCTCCTATCATGGAAAAAACACCCGATGCGATCCATACCACGAGGGAAAGGCCCACGCTGCCGGTACCCAAAAGTACACCTTTAGGACTGACAAATATTCCTGAACCAATAATACTGCCTACAATTACTGTGACCCCATTCAGAAGGCCCATCTTGGGCTTCAAGCAGATCGCATCGTCCGCAGGTGGGGCTTTCTTTGACCCCTGGTCTGCATCCTCCGCTGCGGGAACACCGCTGTACGCTGTTTTGCTCGCCATGCTCACAAACGATCGTTTCTCAAACCTCCGGATGCGAGTTCCCAACTTGAGTGGCCGGCTTTCGCTTAGACGCCGCGTGGCTCGGAGAAGCTTTCGCGCATGCGTGCTCTCTACCGGTTCTATTGGCGGAAGGTATAGCGTGCTGAAAAAAATACGGGGGAAAGACGATCCTGTTTAAACGGAGAAGTGTTTTTTTCCCAGCCGGAAGCTTGCTTTCCCTTTCGGATCATCGTTCAACTAGCTCCAGGAAAAAGGAACCAGGTGAGTCAAAGATAGGGATTTTTCTCAAGAAATCATAGACTCACTTTTAGTCTCATGAACTGTCAACGTAATACGTTTACGATTGTCTAACCCAGTTCCATTATGCTATAAAACGAGAACTATGAAACGCGTATCCAAAAATGCAGAATATTAGTGAATAATCATTGTAAAATTTCCTCATTCCGAGCAAAAAATTTTTATGAAGAGCAAATGAAAAAAATTTCTAAGGAAGCAACAATATCAATACATATTAAATACTAAAGGGGGAGAAATAATTGCAAATGATCCCTTCATTATCTCTGTTAATCCTAACCAACTCCTTTTCTTTTATTTCATCTTCCTGATCACGAATGATCACGAATTCAACAGAAAAATGCAAATGGATCTTTCAGATTTTCGTTCAACTTCTGAATGGGATCATAAATCGATAACGCTGCCACGCGAAACGTGAGAATGTATCAAAAAAATCCAAACTGATATTTCAATAGGGAGAAATATCTGTGTACATACGCATGAAATATCAGATCATAAATAAAAATTATAAGAATTCCGAATTCTACAAGTTGAAACGGCCAAAATGCAAAACTGGCATGAGAACGTGCAAATATTTCGCTTCTCATTTTGAGTATAATTATTACCTAGCTTTTCTATCCAATAAAACCAAGCCTATACCGTTTAAATACTTAAAAAAAAAGGGGGGCCGATAAGGTGGAAATCATGTACGATAAAAAGTTTTGGCTTTCTGGGAGCTCCGCAGGAAAGTAGTATTTGTAAAGCTTGGGGATTCTCATTTGACTGAATTTTTGCTTTAGAGTTGAGTCGCGATGGATTTCTATTGATTGCATCTGTAAATGAAGTGGCACTTTTTGTTATGTTCAGTTTGGTTTCCTAAAGACACCTTGTCAAGAGTCATTTATAGCATCTGAAGTTGCGCATTCGTTTGCTATTCGATGGAATTCCAACTTTGATTAACGCATTATAGTAATTATACAGTTTTTTCTTTACTTCTTCGAGGTGGGCGGCGGAAAGATGAGTTAAGGCCCACAAGTTTGATATGTCTGCTCTAAAGGATAAACAATATCAAAAGCAATATTCACTGGTATCCTATAAATAGAAATTTAGCTCTGTAGATTCAATGAAATTGACTTTTCTTCAAGAATAAAACAGGGTAAAAAAAAGGCCATTGCTATATCGCTAGGATGATTTAAGCAACACTATTACAAAGAGATTCCTGTTCTTACTATATAATTTGCTATTTACTGTGTTTTGGGGGGATTATTTTTATTTATTTATTCTTTAAGAGTACTTTCAGATAGTATTATATTCATAAAGCTGTAGAGGTATTAGGTTTTTTTTTATGTTGGAGACATGAAATATGAGCAATGCCCTCCCCGGGACTCGAACATGGACCTCTTGAATATGCGCCAAGTGTGCTACCGTTACAACACGAAGGCATGCAGAAAGGAGGGAGAAAATACCTTATACAGTTTTGCACAGAGCATCTGAACACGCATTTCAATTAGTAAAAGATTGTATAATCTTTTATAAATAAACCTTTCTGTTCATGCTGTACAACGAAGATTTCTTTGTTTATTGCAGTGCAACAAAGTACACGATAACTATCTGCTAAATTGCTATGGAAGAATTTTTATGTCTAGGTCATTATAAAAAAATTTAGATCTTATTTACAATGAAAAATCCTCGAAATATACATGCAGCTACCCTCTTCGCCGAGGTTCGAACCAGAAAACGCCATTCCTCCGCCGCTTGAGCTGCTTGGCCACTGGTAAACTTTACACTGAATGAGAAGGATGATAAAGCCTTTTTCTAGCCTAGAAGCTGTTCACGTATTTTTTCCCTTTTATTGAAGGTTTTTTTTTCTCTTTATCATTTTCAATAAACTCTTAGCTCCACCACCACTTTTTTAGGTAAAGGTACATCACTGCACAGTACATCATAATTGATAATTCTTCATTTCAAAAGAGAAACGATAACCGCTTTTTCTTCATATGTATTATCTTTAACTTTTGATATGCTATTAACGAATATGATTACTTTTACAAGCATTGTCTAGAGATACATTTGATAAACAATCACTATGTAGGATTCTCACTCGTGTAATTCTAAGTTACTGTAGAAAGAGAAGACCTTTAAGAATTGATAAGCGAATAATCGCTTGAGTTCGTGCAACAAGAAATAGCAAGATGGAAGGGTAAATAACCCTTTATTATTCAGATAAAATCTAACAGAACTCCGTCTTGGAGTGGACAATAAAAGCCGACATTTGGGCTTGAACTTAAGAGGCTAAGAAGTAAACTAAAACTAATCTAAACTAAAGAGATATAGCCGAAGCTATCAAGATTCTAACCGAGTTGGCCCCTTAACGCTAATTGACTGCGAAGCTAACAAGGGCCTGAGTACGGCCGAGCGTAATCACAGCTTTGAGAGAGAGTAGCCAAAAGGCGGACGCGCGCTAATCAGAAACTCTGATTCTCTCTAACTCAGCTAACTCAGCAAGTAGAACGCGGTTAAATACCGCTCCTCCTCATTATGTATTCAAACGTGATTCTAAAACTACGTTCTAGCCGGAAGTAGTAAGCTGAAGTTAAGAATTTGACAGGAAAGAAGTCAAAATTTTATGTCTATTTAACTCAAAATTTAACTGTTAATAAAATTAACATAATTCTTACAACTATTTAATTCATTAAGGTACACAAAAAATCTTATTTAAGAATCAAAAATAGCTTTGCAACATATGGACTACTACGTATTGATGAATTAAAGTTTAGCGAATTAAGTAACATTCACATACAATTTTATAAGGCTTATGCTAATGTTCCGTTTTTGTAACTTTTAATAAAATAATTAAAGAAATATTAATAAGTGGATGAAATAAAATTGATAGACTTAAAATGCTTGAAGAAACCTGCCACCTACCCTTCAACATCTGAGAAAGGGACCAGTATGGCAGCAACGCTTTGATGGTCATCGTGTTGAACAACCGCTCAAACCATCAAGTCTTTGATAGAGGTTGTGTAGCTGCTACGATATATGGATATGAGATCTTAGAGGCTTAAGTTCAACTTAAGGTACATCACTGCGGTACATCAACTTACTGCGGTACATACACTTAAGGTACATCAAGTGTGCGGTTGGCCTCATTTCATTTTTATGAATGCCAACGCTTATTCACATACAGATAATCAGGTGGACGATTTTCTGAAAAATGTGAGGATTTTAGCGGATGGATTGGCAAGCCAGATCACCAACTCTAAAGCCCATCCCATAGAACGGGCTTGAGACTCTCCTTGGAGGGCAACTGCAACTCTTCTTCCCATCTTCAGAGCCCTCCAAAACCTGAAAACAACATTACTGCAGGAATGCTACCAACTGCAGCAAGTACTCATAAATTGCCTCGTTTCCAGTATGGTCATATCGTGAGAGCTGTATGACTGTTAGAATGGACCTAACCTCGTATCAGCCTCCTTTTTTATCGGATCTTGCAGCGTCTGCTTTAGACCTTTCCTGCACCAATGAGCTTACGCACTCTCATTCGTGTGTACCATGATTGTTGTGTGTTATATTTTTATGTATGATAACAACCTATATGAATACCACTTTCATTATGATCTGACCTTAAGTTCTGAAGAGAAAAGATCAGCTGTGAAATTTCTATTAATTTTGAACACCAGTATGTTTTGATGGAAATACTTACTTTAAATGTAAATGAACCGCAACAAAAAATAAAGGAGAGTTATGAAATCAATACGGGACTTGAGACGATGAAGATTGTTAACAAGGAGAACTTCTAGGAAATATTGTAGAGCTAGCCACCCTAAGACATATGACAAGAATATGCATCGCGTCACTTTACGATGTTCGTTAGTTGAAACTCGAGCCTTAACATTCGATAACAAGTTTCTGTATAGTAGTTTCTTTTAGCTTTTGCTTTCATCTGAATAAAAATTACTTTCGATTATTTTATTTTATTGCTAATTAACAACTTCTAGCAAAACATTTTTCAATGACTTTCTTATACCTATTATTACTCCTAAAATTTTGGAAGACCTTTATCTTGATGTTAACAAAATTAAAATAAACAAAAGTCACCTATTGCCTAATGAAATCGGTGCAATTTGTTTTAAGTGCACTGCTTCAGCTTCATACTTCGCAGCAGAATTAAGACTCAAAGAAAGACCATTAATTGATGCTAATCTAATTGGGTACTATGTACTTAAAATTTTTCCTCTCTTATTTCAACTGAAAACTGCAGTTAAAAACAGGGTAATTATTTAATGTATTCTTTTTATTTTAAAACCGATTATTAAAGTGTATATCGTTTTCTATGGAATAAATCACCAAATTTGTGCTCAATTTTCAATTATGTGCTTTTATTGATTTCAATTAACGGGCTATTCAAAATGTTTGTTAGAAGCGAATTTTTCTTTTTTAATTTTATATATGTCTAAGTTTGTTTTATTCATTTTTATAACTGTTTGACTTTCCTCTTCAAGACAGATAATAGTATAAATGAATGGAACGTATTTTTAATATAGTTGTGAAGTTCTTTTATGGTAATTAACCAGTTATTTTATGTTCTGGATCTGTACTATCACTTCTCTTTTCCGTTTTCCCGCCAGAATGCAAATTTAGTTCAAGTGTATTTAAAGGAAAATTTCTGGAATTTAATTCAGAGCATGTTCTGCCTCCCGTAGCTTCGTTACTAAGTTGCTATCTAAGATATGAGTTCTCTCGCCATGCATTATAATTGCCGATAGTTAAATTTCTCGTCGGCTAAGTTTCGAGCCATCTTCGGGTTAAACTGATTGCGTAGCCTTCGGCTTCTAATTTATTTGAATTAAAATTTTACATCTGATTCGCTTCATACTTTACGTTATCTCCACACAAGTGGTTGCCTGAGTTGTAAGCACAAAGTGTGACTTCTGTTCTTATTTAGCTTTAATAAAGAGATTTACATTTAATTTATTGTTACTCTACGT